GCAAAGTTCTATCAATCCTGTGACTTGTAAAAAGATGGATATGATTGGAAACACTCCAAAGGGATCTCAGAAATGAAAATCATTTGTTGAAGGGTGGAGTGGATGTTTTGCCTTTGTAATTTCCTTTAGTATGTAACAGTGAATCCAAATCAATGCAAAAATGCAGATGTCTGTGGGAGACTGCAGGGCTCTCAGCCCTGGATGCACTTTAAAATAACACAGGCTTCCAAAACTACCAGCGCCTGAGCCGCCAGGAGAGCAGTAAAATCGTAATTCCTGTGAGCATGACCCCGGGCATTGGTATTGCCACATATATCAATCACTGTCTTCAAAGTTCCACAGGCGATACCATGCGCCTAGGTTTGAACACCACTGGTTGAGGCTGTGGTTACACATGTTCGTGCTCCCTAGTCAACCAGATTGCTCTCCTCACTCCAAGTTGAGAACAGCTGCATGAGGCAGTGGGAAACTTGTTTGGGGACTGACGGGAAGCAGGCCATTGGCACTTGAGAAGCCATTGGAGGGGATGCCTAAGGCAGACCTGAGTGGGGTACCACAGAAATAAGTTAGGAAGATGTAAGAGGCGGAGAATACCTGTGCCCTCATTCCATCCTTCACCTGGCAAGCTCCTCCTGTTCCTTGAAGCCAATCCTCTTCTCACCCATCCTCCCTGAGAAACCTCCCCTCAACTACCCAACCCTACCCTGAGATCACGCCCCATCCTCTGTGTCCCCATAATACCCATGGGTATCTTTATCACCGCAGTCAGCATGTTGTGTTATCATCATCTCTTTGCATGTCTTACTGCAAACGGGCATTTTATCTTGTTCATTTTGGGGTCCCTGGTGTCTCATGCAGTACTTAGCATATAATGGATGCTTAATGAATGATAGTTAAATGAGTAAATGCATAAGAGAATGTGTAAGTTAGGATTCTATGAATGACACATTTGCTTCTTAGACAAATATTCAAGGGGTTTCTGGTGTTCTTAGCATTGTAGCCCTATAGCTCAGATGGATTTAGTGTTAAAGTAGCTTTTCTTAGGTTAACCTGGGGAACGTAGCCATCATTTGTAATATTGCTTTTGTGAGAAAAATGAATTTCATTCTGTATTTCAAATAGTCAACTTTCAGCTGAATCTTTGGATCACAGTGTATTCCTGACTTAAGGATTGCCTGCACTTTCCCAAATGCCTCATGCTGAGACACTCTACCAATGATTGGACTGAGTTGTCCAAGAAAAGTTCCTTTCCAAAGTTTAGACTAGACAAAGAGAATGCTCACATTTTACCTTTATCAGGTAAATTCCATGAGCTCAGTCTGAATCTACCCCATGTCAGTCCTTTTCAAAATATAGCATTTAATTCCTTTTTTCCCTAACAATTTCATCAGTCAATGGGGCAGATACGTCAGCCGATGTTTCAAACAGTGGCTAACACTCACATGGCCTACCACGGTGCACCAGGCACTGCCTGAGTGCTGCCATCATCCAGTGTCCCTTTCTTCTTCCCAGGAGCCTCAAAAAATCCCAGCTGATCCTGCTCTGAAGTCAAAGAAGCCAAGTAAGAAAGAGGCTGGATAGGAGGGCAAAGCTACCCTCACTCTATCCAGAATGGAGCCCACAGTTTCCAGGCCACCAATTAGTACATATAATTATATAAATTATATAAGTGAATTGGAGCTCACTAAATTGTGAAGGCCCTGGAGGAGGAGCCACAGTCCAGCAGCAGCAAGGGGACACTCTGGCAGCCATGCCCCCATCAGCTGAGCTGACGCCAGCTGCCTGGACCAGTACCTGATTCTCAGGGAATTAATGGAGCAAGGAGAAGAGCCTCCTTAATGGAATGGGGCATAGGACTGCTACACTCACAGGATACTGTTTGGGAAAAGAATTCCCATTTGAAGGATTTCAATAAATAGGTTGAACAAGAATGGAAAGGAAAAGATTCCGGGTGGAGAGGTGCGAGAACAAGGGATGGAGCTTCTAGAAAGATGACAGATCATTCCATTCTTTCTCTTTGGTGCTTGCTGGTTAAGGGAAGGCACAGAACATCTTTTGTCCTGCTGCTAAGTTGGCAAGGGGGGACCCTCCACGCTTTGAGCTCCCCATCCTCAAAGGACTTGAGGAGAACTAGGTGGCTTGTGGTTTGCACGTCTGCAGAAATTAATGCCATGCCTTTAAGTAATAACAAGGGAATAAATAAACTAAAAGCTTCTTATAAACAGATAACCCCCAAGGGAAAGACACTATGAGAATGATTTTTCTAAGACAGCTGTGCCTCCGATGCATAGAAAATCACACCCTCCAGCTACAAGCATTTGAAAAAATAATTTACTTATCCAAGGGAAGGACAGTCACATTTTCTCGAATGCCAACATTAATTTAAGGAGGCTATATGCTCTGCAGCCACACCAGATTTTCATGTGAAGAGCTGCCTCTGCTTGGTAAATGAAAAAGGAGAGTCTTAGGAAATAAGGATTTGATCGTCTTTTTTTAGAAGGTTCAGATCCCAGATGCTTCTGACGCATCTCTTAGTGCTGCCCAGAAATCTCAGGAAGTTGTCCTTTCGTCTGGTACAGTTTGAGTGATATAAGGAGATGGCCGTCTGTATTTTACGCCCTATTCTGAGTTATACCAGAGGTTTATAGCTTGGGAAAATATGGTTATTTTAACACAGATGTAAATTCCGCATGAGTCATTCTGCAGTCTCAGCACTGAGAGACTTCTTCATATAGAACAATGTTTTTCTATTTTATCAGCAATAATACAGCTTATTTTACCACCGTAAGATGTATTGGATAATTTATGAAACAAAAATGTAGTTTAAAAAAAAGTGAAAGAAGCCAATCTGAAAGGGCTACATACTGTATGATTCCAATTATATGACATTCTGGAAAAGGCAAAACTATGGAGTCAGTAAAAAGATCAATGGTTGCCAAAGGTTGGGGGGAGGTGGGGTAGGAGGGAGAGATGAAGAGGGGGAGCACAGGAGATTTTTAGGGCACTGAACCTGTTATTCTGTGTGATGCTATAATGATGGATACATGCCATTATACATTTGTGAAAGCCCATAGGATACATAACATAAAGGTGAACCCTAATATAAGCTATGGACTTTAGTTAATAGTAATGTACTAATATTGGCTCATCAATTGTAACAAATGCACAACTCTAAGATGTTAACAATAGGGGAGCCTGGGGGAGGGGAGGGGATATATGGAAATTCTCTTTACTTTTACTCAATTATTTTGTAAACCTAAATCTGCTCCAAAAAGTCTTAATTTTTTTTTAGAGTAATGCCTGGCACATAGCACTATTGAAATATTTATTAAATACATACATACAACTTTCTGAACGGGAAGTCAAAAGTCCCAGTTAATGAGAGCCAGAAAGACTTAATTTTACATTTTTTCAGCCTCATGCCATCATCTCTGTGAAGATGGGGAGGCTGTGGGTGATGATACTATGCCACGTAAGTCTTCTTTGGTACCCAACATGTAGCCTCAAGTGATTTCATTTGAAAATTGTTATCAGTATATTAAATCTCCTTCTCTTTCTGGTGGTTGTATCTATGAGTGGTCTCTTTCTTTAAAAACAAACCAAAAATAAGAAGAAGACTACATACTTAGCTTACCCTCTTCTCAAGAAGTTCCTGTTTCTCTCAATTAGAGATTCTGTTACACCCTTTCCTTACTCTGCTTTCTAGATGTAATGGCCAGAAAGAAAGTCAGAGCTTGCTGTTCGTTTTCAGGTCTGTTCTGAGGAGTGAAATCAGCAGCCCCCACTAACTCACAGGCTCAGTTCCTGCAGCTCAAGAGAAGGGCTGATTCCTTTCCTGTGGTGAGGGAAGGGGGGTGGTTGGTGAACAACTTCAATAAATATCTCCACGTTGAAGGAAATATCACTAGGAACAGCACAAGTAGTGATGAGTGGTTGTTATGATTGGCCACAAGAAAACCCACACTTAACACATTTGCAAATCCGTCAAAGAAAAATGTGTACTAAAATGCTGCATTTTGCAGCATTTAGAATGCATTTCCCTCTGGAGGAGGAAAAACATACCCAACGATTACCCTACATTCAGTGTGCCTTTAATACTCATGTGTACCCCGTGATAAACAAAACACTGAACTGACATAAAAGCAGAGGAAATTCATATTATTTCACGATGTCAGCGATCTTGATACTCTCATGGACAAAATTCAGTTTCCTGCCTAGAAGGCTTCAGTAACATCACACACGTCAAGATAGCCATTTTTCTTTCCCAAAGAATGTCTTAAGGAATGGGATGTGTCTTATCGACATACCACCTGCACATCTGAAATGCCAGTGGAGTAAGCGAGATCTCTAGGCCGGCAACCTGATTCTCCTCTGTAATATTCTCCTGTACCTGCTTTCCCACCTGGAACCCTGACAAGGGTGTCAGAAATGAGTCCGTAGCTCATTGATGGGCCGCCCAGCTCAGTATTCAGTTTCTGCCTGCCACCAAAAACAGTTGGGAAGAGAGCATGATAGTTAACCTCCATGGTCCTGGAAAGATGAGGAATACAACCCAGTCATCCCTGATTTTTCCTGAAAATGGGCTTTTGTTATTTAAAACCTCGCACATTAATTAAGCTAAGAAAAATAGGGAGTAAAAAAAGGGAAAAAAGAAAAAGAAAACTAAAGTAATGTATTGTCATACATTTTCATTTAACTCTGGAAGAGAGAAGAGATTTTTCTTACTCCCTGAAATTTCCTCTCTTGAGAAACTGGAACTCGTGGGCAGAATAAGCAGCAGTGAAGGTGGAAAGAAAGTCCACAGAGGGCTGAAGGAACAATACCAACAACTGGGGTTCTTGACCTCTAGATGTGCTGACAAGCATTTAGTTACTTGCTCTAATGATACACAAAACAATTACTTGGAGATCATTGGAAAGTACCACATAGGACATTTGCATCTAAAGTTGGAATCTTAGAAGTCATTTTCTCAGCCTTGTCCGTATCTCTTTTCTTTGCAGGGCAACAGGCTTTGGCTTCTTGAATGCACTCTGCAAAGCTGCCGCCGTCCTTGGGAACTTGATATTCGGCTCCCTAGTCAGCATCACCAAAGCCATCCCCATCCTGCTGGCCTCCACTGTGCTCGTGTGTGGGGGACTGGTGGGGTTGCGCCTGCCCGACACACAAACCCAGGTCCTGATGTAATGGGAAACAAGCCATCCATCCTGTGGTTGTTCCTCCTGCCCTTTCTGTGTCAACTTTCCTGACTGACTCAAGGCTTCAGATTTTTCGGATATAGAAAGGTGGTCAAATATCAGAACACTAACTCTTGCTGTGACTACAATTTAGATGCATACCATCTTGCTCCTTCAATGTGACTTTGCACAGGTTTTGGGTTTGGATTGTTTTTCTTATGCATTGTTACCTTTCCTCACTGTGATGTTCCTGCCTCCTAAAAATCAGTGGAAGCGTTTTTTAAATGTCCTAGTAAGCTGGGCCTCCCTGGGATTCTGCTCCCTGGAGGTTTAGAAGCTAAGAAGAGGACGGTGATGCTGTAAGAAATAGATCCTGCCTCTAGTTCAACATTCACAGGAAATATAAGTTGACAGATTATTGCTTTTGTGCTGAGGAGAGGGATTCTAACTTTTCTTTCTTTCTTTCTTTCTTTTTTTTTTTCAAACAGAGTGATATTTCCTGTTTACGTAGAAAAGGACACCTAGCAATTCTCGCTGTTACAGCAGGGTACCACAAAGAAAACTGTGTGGTACCAATCAGAGCTGGGTGGGGCTCTTTCAGGCATGACAATTAAGGTGACTCTGCTGACAAGAAAAATAAAGGCTCAGCAGTTAGCAGCAAAAATCTCAGTGAGTTGAATAAGCAAGATTTCTGCCAGAAAGCCTAATTAAACTTATGTGGTTCAGAATGTTGAAAAATCAGAGATCAGAGAGAGATCTTGGGCTTCCATTTACCTCTCCCTAGCCCACCCCCCATCCACCCCTAGCTGCCATTGACCTTGTCAGAAAGCAGATGCAAGGAAAGAAAGTCACTTTCTAAAAAGTAGGTCTGCCTACCTGATCCTGCCAGTCATCTAAACTGTCTCTAGTCTAGAGATTGTCAGTCATCTAAGTTGTAAATTGCAGGTTAGGAAGACATTCCCACCTAAAGCCATTTGAAAATGCAAAATAATACCTTGAGGGCGCCACTTTCCTGAGGAACAGTAACCCCAGTAGTTGACATTGGACTTTCTATAGCTGGTATCACTGAAGCGGGTCCCATTCCTCTATCTTCCACTGGGCTGGGGCACTAGTCAATGTGTTCCTGGCTGCTGGCTCTGTGTGAAATCACAGTCTGCCATACTCCAAGGGGCCCTCTGGCAGACAAGGCAGCGTCTCCTGGTGGTTTGGGGTTGCTCATTTTATCTAGGGAATCTGCCTGGTCTTGGAGGAGAGAGGTCAGCAGGACATTCCCACAGGCTGTCAGCTACTGTGACCTTCTCAACCCTTTGGGCCTGCCCCTCCTCCAAGCTTGTCCTTTTTACTCATCTTCTTTGAAATCTGAAGCCTCCTTCTAGACTTGCAGCAATGACCAGCAGCCAGGAATAAATCCCATATTAAAACAATATTCCTTTTTTAACTCTCTGTGTCTTGTGAGAGGGTTATCCTTGTTACTTATTATAGTCATTTCCAGCAGGCCTCAGCCCTGGGGCCTCGCTAAGGAGAGCCTTTGTTTCCAATAGTCATTACAGTCAAAGATGTCTTAACCCCAGAGGCGGCTCTGCCTCCCTCTTCTCTTCCTAATGATCCTCCTAGAACTCCAGACGGCAGAGTTCAGACTCAGTGAAAAGCTTCTTTCATGAACCTAAGCCATTAATCGACTCCCCCTTGAAGTAATTCAGGTCTGTAGGAGGGCAGCCTGGGGTTGGGGCTGTCAGGAAGAGGGTGGTTCCCTGGGGATATGAACTGAGGGCCCGAACATCAGGAAAACTCAAACCAAAAACTGCAAAGGTGGCTGGCAGAAGGAAAATCAATAAAGACTAGATGAGATCTATTAGACCGATATTCACAAAGCAGGGAAAGAAACAGAACATACTCTCACATCTGCCTGATGTAATATAGTTGGAGAACAAAGCCAGCAGTCAGAAACCAAGGAAGTGCCCTGTATATTATTCTTCTTCCATATGGATTCATGTCTCCACCTCTCTACCCCTTGATTTATCTTCTTAAAAAAGACGTATTTGGGGACCTGAGTGGGCTTTTTTTAGTTGGACATAGCACGTGCAGTAATAACTGCAGAAGTATAATGTGTATCTCCGTTGATCCATTTCAAAAGGAAAATAGAAATGTGTACAGATGTTATGGTCTCTAGTCTCCCGTGATAGCAAACTTTGCTTCCTGGGCTAGCTTTACCTTTACAAATGCCTCCAATGTCTGTTGTAGCTCTAAATTCATAAACCACCTCCCAAGCAATGGAGCCCAGTTTACACAGAATTTTATTTGAATGCTGGATTGGGTCAGAATAGGATAAGCCAGCAGAACCCCACTTCATGAGACCTACTACCATGCATCCCCTGCAGAGGGGCCTTTCTTGGCCTTCTTGACACCTAATCCAAGCCTCCCAGGTGGCCCAAGAGGGATCTATTCTAATCTCCTGGACAGTCTGTGGTCACAAACCTTCTTGGTCACCACCTTTTCCACCTTTTGTACAGTTTCCTCTGCCTCGCTCACATTGTGCCCATCACCTGGATTTTCTATGAGAGCTCAAGTTCTCCCCCAAGTATGTGGTGTGGCCTGTCTGGCTTGTTCTGGGGTTAGCTGGATTAAGATATAGCCATGCAATTAAACAGAAACTCTCAGTTCTATCAATACAGGAAGCAGCTGGCACAGGGACATACCCCCAGCATCGCATTTCAGGTACGGAAGGAGGAAAATGAGAGGATGTGAAAAAGAGAAAGCCTAAGAAACAGTGCCACTTGCTCCTATATTTCTAACTCATTTTCTATCTAAAATTTCTTCATAGCTCTTTGGGACCAATCCAGAATCCTTCCAAATCCTACTGTTATCACTGGGTCCTCTCAGCAGGTAAAAACCCTAGCTGCTCCAGACTGTAAATCCCATACCATGTTACACCCCCAAGTGATGGATCTTACCACACCCAGCTCCCATGCAACCCTCTGCCTTGGAAGCCAAACCCAGGTCATCTTACATCCAGAGTGCTGACCCTAAAAGATAAGAATAGATGGGTCTTAGCCCAAGCTCCACCACTAACCAACAATGAGACCCAGATCCCGCAGGGGAGAATGTTAGTCATGGAAACATGTCTGGTCCTCAGTTTCCCTGTCTGTAAAGGATTGGGACTAGTTTGTTACCGGGACTAGTCCAAGACTCTAGAGGATCTCCATGAAAATCGCTTCATCTGATTATCTACCTTTTGATGCTAAACTCATCTTTATAAGCACCAAGCAGGTTCAGTTTAGAAACTGAAAAATTAGGAACTAGGCACGTGTACAAGAGCTCAGGAAGTTGTTTTGGAAGCCCCTAGGGGCCAGAGAATATAGTTCCCATGTTGTTTGTGCTGTCAGCTTCTTAAGATCCCCAGCATTATCTCAATTCAAAGCTAGTTGGACAGTTATCATTGCCTGTCCAGGAAAGCGACCCACACTGCCAGATAGACACTGTTAGGAAACTATCTGATCAAAATACTGTCGCAAAGGCTGTATCCTATAGCTCTCCTGACTGTTTACTCCACTGAAGTCTTTAAACAGGGTCTTAAGTAGACCTAGGCCTTCAGAGTTTTTAAGTGATTTTACCTAAGTTGGCAGTTTCATTTACAAATCTTACCAAATCAGAGTTCAGGTTTGCACCAAAAACTGCTTAGCTGCTTTTCTGGATGTCTTGAGATATCAAGAGAGAGGTAGGTGGGAAAAGAAATATAGTGACAGAGGGAGAGTCTAAGATGTCATTGCAAAGGTTCCAGCGAAGAGATTAGGGTACAATTTTTAGACGTTCTAAACCCTGGTATCATTTCAAAAGCATTCCTTAGGAATATCTTCTGATTCCCTCTGCCAAGCCAAATAGAATATGATATTCTCCAATTGTTTTCTAGTCAATATCAAAATGGCCTTTACGTAGTTTTTCAGTAAAACACATCACCTGTTCATGCATTAAAGGCTCTGAAATCAGGAATGTCTGAATTTGGCCTTCACCTGGTATCATAGAAATATAACTGGTTGGTTATTTAGGTGCATGTTGGCTATATATTTGGTTTTCCTTTCCCCTATATTATGCTGAACTTAGTCCAGTTACCCAGCCTACACAAACACCAGTCATGTTGCAACAACCAAAGCAATCTACCCAGTAGGGCACTCAGAAATGGACTATACAGTCCTTACAGTCTTTGTTTCTGCCAAGCAAAGTGTGTTTTGAGTCAAGCTTCTCTCATTATCTGCGTAATGTAGACAAAAGAAAATTACTGGTACCTCCTAGATGTATTGTGTATCCCTTCATTGTTTCAGGTGGGGCGTGACAGCTCTCTGTGTGTAATGCCTTTAGCTCTAAGCAGTGGTAGTGTCTCACCAACCAGCTACAGCCATTGCCAGGGCTTTCTTCGGTCTTCCTCAAACAATATCTAAGCCCAGTTTTGTAATCCCAGAATTCTGAGTTACAAGGATGCAGTTCGTGGATGTTTAAGGCTCACAGGGCTGGGTGGGGGAAGGAACTTGGCAGAGCATTCGCTTATCTCTTGTCATCTCATGTGATTATTCAACAAATATTTATTGAGCACCTCCCATGGAGGCACTGCTGCATGGAGATAATTAACCCTTTGCAGGACTTAAATGATGTCAGGACAAACAGGGAGTGAAAGAGAAAACATCTGTAACGGGGGTCTTATATTGGCCCCATTACATGTTGAGATGCTCTCCCCATAAACACAAAGCGTTATTTCCCCAAATTTAAAAGAAGTAATCACCTACAGAGGGCAATGCAGAGATTCCTTGGAAATCGGGAATATCTTTGACAGGAGGAGAAAGTCCCTCAATGGCTTCGTCTTTGTCGGAGGGACTACTAACTAGCACTTAGGCAACGAGAAAAATGGAGCCATGTATGTGCTATTTCTTTAAATGTCTTGGCAGGAAATTGCCCTAAGGTATTATTCAAGGAAAAGAATCAGCAGCAAAGATAGACCCATCTCTATAGGGATGTTCATTTTTAAAGTCCCAGTGTCTTCCAAGGGAATCTTCTCATTGCCTGAACCCAGAGGTGGGGGCTGGGGAGTCTGTTCCCGCGTAGGCAGCGCTGGACTTTTTTCTCTGGCGCGGAGCGGAGTCAGCAAATCCCTCAGCTGCTGCTGTGTCCCCTGGCCTCAGCTTCCCAGCGTGTTTCCTTTCTGATTTGAAAGACATGTGACTGAGTCAAGTGTCTTCACAGATATCCTAGAGCAGCTTTCCCGCTCTGTACCCTCAGCAGATAAGCCACAGAAAACAAGTTCTGACAGCCAGGGGCGGATTTTCCGTTTTCAGCTTAAAACCAGTGCATGGTTGTTGCAAAGTGTCTTGAAGCTGTAAAGGATCTGTGGGGTTCTGAGGCTTGAGGGGAGGCAGAACAGAGAGAGGGCGGGTGTCAGTGACCCTCTACCATCCCCTCCAAGAGCGCCCATTTCCTTTTTTACCCACTAGCCTCCCCGCCAGACCTCCCCTAGGCAGTGTGTGCGGCCTTGGGATGGTACACACACACTTCCTTTCTTTCCCTTCTATTCTACCTGCTCCCGTCCTCTTCTTGTCACCTCTTAACTCAAGCAGTGTACAAAAGCAAGGCCAAGCTTTCCTGGAGTGCTTGGGACCAAAGAACGTGGTGATCATTCCACGTGTGTGGCAGAGGCCAGAGAATGCAGCATGTGTTGAACAGGAGTGGGTGCAGAGGGTGCGCGTTCTAGACTAATGGCCTTGACACAACTCCCTGAACTGGGCTAGGTTTCCAACTGCTTCTTGACTCCTGTGGGGGATAGATAGGATGTGTACCACCAGCATGAACTCTAAGAGAGGCCCATGTCTCAGAATGCACTGATCTGTGGAAGGTAGACACATCTCTCCATGCATACAGAGGGTCTTACTTGGTGCAGAAGGCTGGATGCTTTCCATTCGGAAGTAAATGCTGAGATTGCAGAGGCTGCCCCTTCTCTGCCTACCCTACCACATTTGTGTTTCCTTTAAAGGCAAGAGTGCCCAGATTTCGGAGGAGGAAAAAGCAGCCCTCAGCCCTCTGTTCAGACAGGGTTGAATACCAAGCTAGCGGCTTCCCCTAGAAGCAGGGGTGCAGAGTCCTAAGCAGTTTTCAGGTGCCTGGAGAACAACAGGCCGAGCCTGCTCCCAGGGGCCAAAGTTATGCATTGTCTCCCATGGCAGAGACCCAGTCCATATCACATTGAATCCCGTGGGTTTGCAGGTCAGCATTGCCCATAAGCCCGAGGGAAGGAAAGACTTAGCAAGCTCAACCTCATGTCGGTACACAAAGGGTCTTTTTCTGCATTTGTATTGACTCAGAACCGGACTCACAGTGCCAGGAATCCACTGTTTTCTATAGATATTGTTCCTTCAGGAAGAACGTACAGAAAATTGGCTATTTTATTATGTGCAAACACAAACAAAAATGTTTGAAGTTACAGAGTGTTACCCCTCTCACACCCAAGCAGGCGTCCAAGAAGGGAACCCCTCCCTTGCCTGTGACATTCCCCAGGCCTGCCTAGCTAGAACAGGACAGATTAATGACTTAATCTCATTTCCACTGCTGTTATACATTTATTGTACCGAATCTATGTCCTAAATCAAATGGGAGAAAAAAGAAACGTTCTTTCTTGAGATGTGCTTTTTCACAGCATCCCAAATGTGGCTGTGTTCCCTTGCCCTGACCCAGGATCATATTGAACAGATTATAGATCCTTCACTAATGTCTAGATACTGTAAATAAAGTCCTGGAAGGGCTTTTTCTTTCAGGTGAACCTCCATTTCCCACATGCTAAACGTCCAACCCACTCTCCTTTGCAATGCGATCTTGGCAGTGGGTCTGTCCTTGGTTTTAGCGTTCGGGTGTTTTGTTTTGTCTTGTCTTATTTCTTTTCTGTTTTCACCGCTCTGTAAGACCTCCTGCTGTGAATGTTCCCGTTACCCTAATTGTACTGTATATACGTGCTGCATGTGTGAACCCCAATAAATTCTGTTTCAGCTTTCTGGAGTTTTCATCTGAAGTACAGCTGGTTCTGTTGTGAACTCATCTTTCTGGTATGCTCCTCTGTGTCTGATTCCTGATTGCCAAAATGTTTGACCAAGTGTGTTTTGACAAATGTCCTGAGACAGCCATGCGTATCCTTGTGAAGGGGCATGCTTCGTGTGGGATGACTCGTGTACAGTATAAATCTGTCACATGTGGAAGTGTGTATACATTTATATGCCAGATACCTAACATTCATGTAACAGCTGCAAAGATATTTAATGTACATCAGATTAATAAAAGAGCATTTTTTTTGCTCCATTATATTCAAATAAAGATTGCCGTGTGACTGACTTCCCTTCCAAGCATGAATTGACCCTTAAAAAGTAAGTTCCTTTTTAAATGTCCTTGGGCATCATGAAAACCTGTTTCCCTTAATTCAGGCTTATTTGAATTGTTTGTGTGGGCTGGTGTCATGGGTATTGATGTATTGTTGATTTTACAGGAACACTTTCCAATTGTTAGCCAGGACCAATGGGAAGAAAATGTTTGTGGGGGTTTGTGACAAAGCAGATGCTTGTGTTCTTTTGCCCTAGAGCAAGAATAGCAAGCAGATTTTTCACTAGCATATGAACTCCAGTGAATTGGTAGTGACTGCTTGGAACGTGAACTTGAAAAGAATGATGACAAAAAATTGCTATGTTTTATAGCATTGGCATCGGAAGCAGAAACACAAACTGTCTGCCATGGATTTGCTAATCCCAAGAGAATACTTTCAACTGCCTTTAACAGAAGATCCAGCTTCCAATATCTTTACTAATAAAGGGAATTATTATTTCACATAGCAAAGGAGATAGGAGAACTCCAAGGTGGGCTATGATGTGGTGGCACCATCACTGAAGACCCGGGTTCTTTCTGTCTTTTAGATCAGCCATCCTCAGCACACTGGCTTGTGTCCCCTCATGGGCATGGGATGGTTCCAGCAACTCTATGCCTCAGATTGTCACCTAAAAATCTAAGGGCTAGAAGAGAGACTGCCCCTTCTTTATGACCCTTTTTAAGATCAAGGGGAACACTCTTAGACTCCTCCAGCAGATTTCCACCTCTGTCTCATTGGCCAGATTTGCATCATTTGCCTATTCCTAACCCAGTCACTAACAAGGGGAATATAATTGCCATAACTGGCTTAGGTTAGTCAAGATTCTCCCTCCCCCAGAAAGCTTGGAAAGAGTTCACTCCCTCCTGAAGCACCTGGCTTCTGACTGCCCGAACAAAACTGGGATTTAGTGAGCAAAGAAGGAAGGTAGCTATTGAGTAAGCAAGTCACAGTGTGCCATGAGCTCCGTCACTGAGCTATCTCATGCTGTAGCCATGTGTAGCTATTTACATTTAAACTTAAAATAATTAAAATTAAGAATCCAGTTCCTCAGTCACACTTAGCCACATTTCAGGTACTCAGTTATCATGTGATTCGTGGCTGCCATATTGAACAGCATTATCTATATTAGTTTGCTAGGGCTACTGTGACAAAGTACCACAGACTGGTACAGGCTTACACAGCAGAAATTTGATTTTTCACCATTCTAGAGGCAACAAGTCCAAGATCAAGGTGTAGGCAGGGTTGGTTTCTTCTCCTTGGCTTTAGATGGCCACCTTCTCTCTGTGTTGTTACATTATCTTCTCTCAGTACATGTCTGTATCCTAATCTCCTTGTCTTATAAGGGCACCAGTCATATTGGGTAGAGACCTATTTTAACTCAATTATCTCTTTAAAGACCCTATCACCAAATGCAGTTACATTCTGAGGTACTGGAGCTTAGTACTTCAACATAAGACTTTCAGGGGGAACACAATTCAGCCCATAACATTATCCCCAATACTATTTATTGTATTGTGTATGTACATTGTGTGTAGAGTTTAATGTGCACGGAATGTGACTGAGTGTGCCTGTGGTCACATAGGAGAGTAGCACAGGCTGTGTTATTGTCAGTTTAAGAATATCCATACCTGTAGAAAAATTTTTATAAGAGTTGATTAGAATTTATTTGAGCCAAACAGGACACACCTGGAAGCAAGACTGCACCAGAATGAGAAAAATGCTTCCAAGAATGACAGTTTGCAGTTTCTTTTATACTTTTGGAATTGAGGGAACATAAAGAAGATTACATGAAGGAGGGAGAAAGTAAGGCAGGGAAATCTCTGTGATTGGATTGCAGGGCAGTTAACAAGATTATGTGCTCCCTTGATGATGGTTAGGCTTCCAAAGGGTCTGAAAAAGAGGCATTTCAGAAGGTATGTTAATATAGATGTGCAAAAACTGATGCACAGGGCTTGCTTAAGGCAAAGACAACCTTTTACTGGGGAAGTTACATGCTTAGGACGTGACTACCCACCATGACCTGCCCAGTTAGGAATTTATGATCAGCTCACCCTGTGAGATTAGATTTATCACTGAGCCCCTTTTCTGCCCGCTGTATGTGTTCACTCTTTAGTGTGCTGCTCATTCAAAGGGGAACATAAAGAGAGGGGTTGAGGAATAACCCTGGAGCCTGCACTCGTAATCCAGAAACAGATAACTCTTGGGGACCCCGCAGGACAGGCGAGCCGGGCTACGAGGCCTGTGCTGGGCTGTCCTTTGACCAGTGACTCTGCTTCCTTTAGCTTCTCTGCTTATTAGAATTCCAGATGAGACCTTGCTCGCTCTGTACAATAATTTTCTTTAATCCTGGAGTTGATGGGTGCCTTGTTCCCCACCTTGCACGCAGCCTCTGAGGAAAGCAGCCCCTTTCTGAGCCTGTCCCCAGTGACGCTTTCTCCAGGACTGTGACCAGCTCTGTGCCCGGGCTGGCTGCAACGGGAGCCAGGAGGGGGGCATTCCTGGAGCTTGCCTAAACCATGTCAGCCTGTTACTACCGCCGGCCCTTTTGTTTAGTGGGGAGACCAGATGCATTGCCATCTCCTGCAATTTGCAGCCCAGACACCAGGGGGAGAAGTGAAAGCCACAAAGACAAGTTCCTCAAATGAAGACCGGCTCCTAGCCTTGCAGCAGCGGCAACTCCCCGGGGGCAGAATGAATGAGGTGGTGGGTCTGGGGTCACAGAGGACACAGTGAGTTTCATCCCTGACTCCAAGTGCACCTGCAGCCGCCTGCCCTCAGTCTTGTTTCTCAGTCCACTGCCCAAAAGCCCACGGGGAGGCAGAACAGACCATGAGTGCACCAAATGCCCTTTGGATTGAGATGGCCAAGGAAATTTCCTCAGCAAATTCTGTTTTGGATGGGGCTAGAAGGAAAACTACAGCAGATCACAAAAGGCTACGTGACTTGTAAGTTGTCCCCACCACTCATTTGGGCTTTGAAAACATTCAAAGGCATAGAGCTTTGCTAGGCTGTCTCACCCTCTCCAGCCCCCGCCTCTGTCAGAGGACAGGCAGCCTCCCTCTCCATTATAGCACACCTGTAGCACTTTCTAAACTGCAGGGAACTCAGACTTTCCCAGACCTCAATGTCCACACTGAGGTCAGGTGAACCTTCCGATACAGGGGACAGAATATCACCCTTGCTAAGAGCATGACTTCGGGCTGAAATCAGGTCCAGGTTTGTGGGTTCTCTTTAAAAAAAATGATACAAAAATATCTACTTGGAATGAGAAAAGAAACCCCACAATTTACACATTTTTAAAAACTGACAAATATGACAGACCATAACAAAATCCAGGAAAATAATATACTACTTTATTAATTAATTAACGAATGCCTGAAACCCCTCTATAATTTGTTTCTATATTTTTTTGGCTCCATACTCTTTGATCGCCTTTTCCTACGACAACAGTTTTGTGATATCATTGTCAATAGAGAGAATAGGAAGATAAAATTAGTTTTGATTACTAATAATTTTTGTTGTTTCTTGTTTCTTCTCCACTTCCCACGTACTTCCTGTGCTGAAATCACAGATCCCTTTCATATTTTCAATCCATCCTTTGGTTCCGTACAACCAAGTCACAAGGCCAGGTGAGCAGACACAGTGGGCAGCAGGAGTATTTCTGGAAGTCATTCCTTCAGTGGGACAGCTAGCAATCCTTACTCACTAAAGCGATTGCAAACCACGTCAATACATCCCACTAATCCCAAACTGAATATGTATGTCCCCAGCTCAAATTCCTCTTGGCTGGAACCCAAAATGCCAAGCTCCACCCAACACCAAGGCAACTTGAGGAAAGGAAGAGAGAGGAGAAAGAACCAGTAGTTTTAATTGACAAAGGAAACAGTCTATTAATTTTGTAAATTTTTTTTAGTTTTGCAAATTTTTAAAGAACATAAGATCATGGAAACACATGATTAGGGCCTTCCCGGTGCCTGGGAAGAGACCCTTGCAAATGGGGGTCCCTGAGGCTTAAGCTTCATTTACTTCATGGTAAACACTCCTCTGAGTTTAGGAGTCCTGGGAATGTGGGTTTGAATCCTGACTGCCCCTTAGCAGCAATAGGGCATCGAGAAACTTAAATTAGTCTTCCTGATTGTTCATTTCCACAAATATACATGAGAAATGACAGTTTCTATTTCACTGAGGTTTGTAAGAAAATGTATAGAAAAGGCTTAGCAAAGTGCCATACTTCCTAAATAAATGGTATGATTAGAATGATTGGCTCACAGCTGGTCCTGGAGGCAAGTGTGTACTTCCCTTTACATGAGGGCATTGAGATACAGAAATCATGGGAGCCAGATCCCCTTAGAGTGCTCAGATGGGGTGGAATCCTGGCATTGTCTAACTCTCACAAGACTTCTTACAGGACCATGTAACTTCTGGCTTCTATTGTCATTGGCATGCATAGTAGGGACCTTGGCCTGTGGTGACCCTGGCAGCAACTCCAAGTGACTCACCCACAACCCCCAAACCCAGCTGTGGTTCTGCTTTTCATAAAGGCAGCCTCACAGTGCCCTGCCTGTGTGCCCAGATGCCCAGCTCCAGGGGAGGGCCTCTGACAGCCAGGAAAACAAGGAAGGAGAAGCAGTGGCACAAACACAGGATACCAGGAACTT